TTTCCTTACTCCACACAGAGCCTAATAATAATCCCTCCAAAACCAAAAACAATAATAAATTGGTCATTTTCAATCTACGACTGTTTGTGGGACATTGCTGTGCGCAATTGGCTGCCGCGTTCGCCCACAAATATACAGTCATTTCACTTTACAGTGTGTTCTGTGAAGCGCTTTGGGACGTCCTCCCAACGTGAAAAGCGCTATATCAAATGCAAGGATTATTATTATTATTATTATTATTATCTTTTGATACATCCTAACATCTGGTTTGCTTTACTCACTGCCCGCTTTCTTTGCTTTCATTACTGGCCTCTCAAGAGCAATTGTATCAAAGGCCTTACTGAAATCCTGATATATAACATCCTCAGCCTTACCCTTACCCCAACTGAACATCAGCTAGATCGAGGCCTTCCTGATTGGCTCGCACCAGCGCCTCCGCATCTCGGGCTGGCAGCATCAGCCTCCACAGCTACACACTCAACCTCTCTAAGCCAGTCAGGAACCTGGGTGTCTTGTTTGACCCTGAACTGTCCATTCTCCCCCACATCCGCGCCATGACCAGCACTGCCTACCACCACCTCCGCAACATTACCAGACTCCGCCACTGCCTCACCCCTCAGGCTGCCGAAACCCTCACCCACGCATTCGTCACATCAAGGCTCGATTATGGAAACTCCCTCCTCCTCGGCCTTCCAACTCTTCCCTTCACAAGCTGCAGATCATCCAAAACTTACCAGGCTCCATGACCCCATCACTCCCACCCTCGCCCAACTCCACTGGCTCCCCATCCCTCAGAGGATCAAATTCAAGATCCCCGTCTTCATCTTTGAGGCCATCCATGGCCTTGCTCCCTCCTACCTCTCTGACCTGCTGACTCCCTACCATCCTGCCCACTCCCTCCGTTCAGCGGGCTCCGGCCTGCTCCATGTCTTCCGCCCTACCATCGGTGGCCGAGCTTTCGGCCTCTCTGCCCCCATACTCTGGAACTCCATCCCACAGTCCCTTCGCCTCGCTTCCTCTCTTGCCTCCTTCAAGGCCGGTCTCAAGACCCTCCTTTTCAATCGTGCCTTCGCTCGCGCTCCCACCTCTCTGCCTTCCCTCATCCCTACATCACCCCTCCCCCATGCGTGAAAGGCGCTTTATTAATGTAATTTTGTTGTTTTTGTTGTTACCCTTATCAAACTCCCTTGTCACATCATCAAGGAAAAACAGTAAATTAGATTGGCAAGACCCACCCCCCTTCATGAACCCATATTGGCTATCATTTATAATTTTATTTCTGTCCAGGTACTTTGTGATTTTATCCTAAATAAGAGTATAGACTGTACACTGATTGCTGCCAAGCAAAGCTCAATATGGACATTTAAATTGTACTGCATATAGGTTGTAAAATGATGAAACACAAGTACAGTATTCCATTGGATCAAATATTTAAATGTATACATTGACTCATCAATCATTATGCCCAACGAGGTATCAACAATGAATAGCAATAATTACGGCATACAGAACTCTGACTTATATTGCTAAATCCGGATCAACAGAGAGCTGGCAGCTGTGTGTGAGAAGAACACATTGAACGGTTTTATAATTCACTGTACACGGTTCGTCTGTTTTGCTGGTGGCACCACAGGCAGCCACATCCGGTGCAATTACTGCATTAGGGAGCGGACAGATTGATAGGGGGTCAGCAGCTTCAAGGAGATCTCGCTTTACACAAATAAATTGCTGGTGCCATCTTGTTAGTATAACAACAAGACCTGGAGAAACCTATTTACTTGCTTTTAGCCAGGCTGTCAGAAGAAAATTGTGTTAAGCAAAACATTTTTTTTGATAAGTCAGGTGTCTGATACAAGGGGAAACCCATCACTTTCTCTATTCCCTCTCCATTTCTCTCCCCTTCACCCTCACATTCACTCCCCACCCCCTCACAATCTCTCTCAAACTATCTCCCCCTCTCACACTCTCCCCTTTTCCCACTATCTCTTTCTACTTTCTTGCGCTGCATTCCTCCAACAGCCGGCTCCTGCCCTGGGAGAACATTCACCAGGGAGTCAGGGAGGGAGGGAGGGAGGGAGGGAGAGAGGGAAGTTTGAAATTGTGGAAATGGTCTCAGACGGGATAAAATCTCTCACCAGGCTGCCTGTTGGACCATGCTGAACTATAGCATATCCACAACATTGTACACAATTCTCCCACAATGCGGTGTTAAATAATTTGTAAAGTTTATTTAAAATACAGGTAAATCAAAACCCATAGTTCCACCACCCTGTTCTACACAAACACATTTAAAGTTTACTGTTGCATTTTGCTAGTTTTACAATCTATTTTTTGATGACATTTATACTTCACTTTGGTAATAGACTATTATATGCACTTACCCAAAATAGTCAGTGTTATGGACCACTATAACCCAAGTATTTGCAGCAGTATTTCTTAGAACTCATGTTCCCTTCTGTTATTAACAAAGGACGTGGAGGGTTGGGACTCTTCAAAGGCAAACAAATCCCAATGGCAGTACACAGGTGGAGATTCTAGTTCGCTACTTGTCGAAAACAAAATAATTCAACTAATACATGGTAATCGCATGGCCATTCCCTATCAGAGTTGCCTTTAGAAAGAAGAAAATAGTCCCTCCTGTCAAATTGCATGGAATGCACTGCTGGAATGCATTGCCTGAAAGGGTGGTGGAAGCCGATTCGATAACAACTTTTCAGAGAGGAGCAGTTAATTATTTTGGGAAGACAAGATTACAGGGCGATGGGGAGAGTGCGGGGGAATGGGGTTGATTTGGATAGCTCTTTCAAAGAGCCAGCACACACACAATGGGCCGAATGGCCTCCTTCTGTGCTGTATAATTCTATGATTCTATGAATTGGAAGCGGTGGAATCAGTTTGCGCCAGAATATTCAAGATGGAGTTAATTGCTAAATAATTCAATTGAGGATGTTGTTAGCCCTAACACTACCCGAATTTTACTTTTACAATATCTTTTCCATGTCTTTTCAGGTGTAGTGCATTTCTTTGTTGCAATATTGCAAAATCAGTTCAGCAACCATATCAATTCAAAACGTCAGTGAAGGAAACTGACTTCCCCCATTAAATCAGTCACTGCCCAAGAACTGGAGTGAAACCTGACCAAAGAAGGGGGAGGGGGCGACTAAGATGGGGTGGGGGGGCGAGGGGGCAACAGAGAGGGGGCAGGGAGCGACAGAGAATGGGTTAGGGGATACAGAGAGGTGGGAGGCGTTACAGAGAGTGGGGAGGGGGACACTATCTCCTTCTCTCCCCCTCTCTCGCACACACACTTTCTCTATCCCCTCTCATTCTCCCACAATGCGGTGTTACATTCATTTGCAAAGTTGATTTCAAATACAGGTAAATCAAACCCATAGTTCCACCACCCTGGTCTATACAAACACATTTAAAGTTTACTGTCGTATTTTGCTAGTTTTACAATCTATCTTTTGATAACATTTACGCTTCACTTTGGTAATAGACTGTTACATGCACTTACCTGAAATATTCAGTGTTATGGACCACTATAACCCAAATATTTGCAGCAGTATTTCTCAGAACTGATGTTTGCTTTTCTCACTAACACCGGATGTGGAAGTTGTGGCTTTTCAAAGGCAAACAATGCCCAATGGCACCCTAACCCTGAGACAGCTATTCATCTAATACAAAATAACTGAACTAGTGCTAGATCCAGGTGGCATATTTTAGCATGGTCAGGTGACACTAGACAGGTGGCTTTAATAATTGCCTTCTTCAATAGTTTCATCACTTTGGTATGTTCCTTCGTCCCCTTTTCTTTCACCTCCTCATCACTTATAGTCTTCTTCAGCAACTCATACAGTTGTCTCCCCGTTCAGCAAATTGTGGTAAAAGTGACCTTCGTGTATCCCACAAGATTAGCATTCAGGGGCTGAGAAAGATTTTAACACTGCCGCCCTCCTTTTATGGAATATGGTAGGTGCATTATGAAACCCCTGTGGCAGACTAGCCCAGGTGCATTGCTGGTCCTCAAAAGTAAACGCAAACCTGCATTGATCTTCTGTTCGCACTGGAATACTCTAAAATCCAATTGACATGTTCAGGGTGGAAAACTATTTGCAATTTGCTGGAATTTGTAATAACAATGTTGGAAGCCTCCATCACCACAGATGAGCAGGCGGAAATTACCTCATTCAACTTTTGGTAGTCAATAGTTAGTCACCATGAGCCAGCAAGTTTCATCACAGGCCAGATTGGGAAATTAGATGTAAGTGTCCCTTCATGTATCACCCCTTGTTCCAGCAATACCTGTATTGTTACTTGCACACACCACGTCTCTGGCACTTCTGGCACTGAATACTGCTTCATTTTGACATAATATGATCCATTAATGTCTTCCAGTCTCTGCATCCTCCATATTCCCCCCCCCACCCCCACCTCTGCAACCTCCAAACCCCCTACCATCCTGTTTGCTCGCTCTGCTCAGTGGGCTCCGGCCTGCTTCACGTCCCCTGCCTCGCTCGCCCCACTATTGGCCGGCAGGCCTTGGACACTCTGCTTCTATCCTCTGGAACTCCATCGCATTGTCCCTTCGCCTCACCCTCTCCCTTGCCACCTTTAAGATCCATCTCAAGACTGTCCTCTTCCATCGCGCTTTCGATCTCCCTGCTTCCCCCCACTAACCTCCACCCTCCCCGATCCCGACCGACAGCTCGGATCTGAAACTCTGTCTGTCCACCTCCTTGGAACGTTCACACGTTCTCAGGAGATTTGTCAAGAAAGCCATCTTCTGCTCCCTTGTCCAGAGACTTTCGGGCACACAAAATCTACATATTCTGTTATGTATCACCCTGTTGCAGTTGAAGGTCAGTTAAGATCCGCATGTGCATTCTCAATCCCTTTTCAACCGGTGTAAATCAACAGTCTCACTTCAAAGTTTCAACAAATGTAATAAATGAAAGATGTACAAAGGCAACTATTAACAGATAGTTAGATCTTGCACACATGTATAGTGTATAAAATATTAATCAGTCTATTTGCATGATTAAAGACAGTCTTTGTTTAGAGTCTGATACAAATAATCAAAGAAGAATAGGAACACAAAAAGAAATGTCAGAATTAAAAAAAGGTCAGTATAAGAAATCGAGGTAACCATTTACACATATCCCAAGAATCTGAAGAATAGAACTAAAGATCTGAAGGATAATGGAAAAGGGAAGGTCTGGAAATTATGGGTATTTCAGAGTTAATAGATTGGGGCGGGTTCAATTTGTATCTAATGTTTTGAAACACTAGATATATATTTAATAATAATAATAATCCTTGCAATTAATATAGTGCTTTTCAGTTCTTCTAGACGTTTCACAATAAATGTAAAGTATATTTGACAAAATAATCAATTGAGGAATTTGAGAGAGATAGAGTACATAATTTTCTTGTTTTGCTTTGGGATCTGCTGGATGAATCACAAGGTATTTTCTTAATCTTATACGCTCCCATGTTCTGATTACAAAAGTATTTCTTGCACCAGCCCCAATGCAATGCTCAACTTGTTAGAAAGGACACAAGTGTGAAAGAAACACATCTACTTCATTTCTCACAATTACTCCTGGAGGGTGTACATTGTGTGCCACGTAATGTGCTGCAGTCATTTCCCATGCATCTACAAATGCCACGTTGATGCCCTCAAACATTTTTCTCAATATTTTATCTAGGTGAAAACTGTACCAATCACTGTAAAAGAAGCTGTACCAAATTGGATCAAGTTCTCGGACATTGGCTGTCTTGAATATAATGAGCGTATCTGGACTCCTGCTCAGTAACTGTACAATTGATTTCCGAATATTCTGCAGCCTTCGGATGTAAGATGCGACTGGAAGAAAGGTCATATGGGCCCATATAGTGATTGCTATAATTGTGTTCTTTCCTCCTTTATTTGCATCCAGCTGATTTGCAATATAATGCAGCTGTTGGCTTGAAATATCATTGAATCTAATGGGTGGGCCATGGCAACGATATTTCACCATGATCTTGTTCACCACATCCACAGCAGTGTAAGGACCATTCTCTGGAGTATTGCCAAATTGAAATAATTTAAGATCTAAAAACAAAGAGACAACATAATTAATTATACCTTAACTAAATTATATTTTTGTGCACAAGTTATCAAATATGAAGAGGTGGGACAGATGGTGCCAGGAGAGGACGTGAGCAGGGTATGTGGGTGGCTGAGTAAAACCCGTCAGGGTGTCCTCACCCCTGATTAGCCGATGGACTTGTCAGTCAAGCCAACGGCTCACCTTTAAGACATGTGTCGTCTTTGCGTTTCCTGCCACCCCCAGTGTGTCTCCTGGTTCTCTGTAACCATCACGTGTCCCCCAGTTTGGGAACCAATGATCTAAAATAGTGTGGGCCAACAGGCAGCCTGGCAGGACTAAGTTTCTAAGGACGTGGTGGGTAAGAGACTCGCTTGCCTTCCTGACAGACTGCAGTAATCACCGGTATTATTTCCACTCTCCGCGCTTCGTCCTCCCAACCGCTGGCTCCTGCTGATGCCCTGAAGGCGTTCACCAGGGAGGGAGGGAGGGAGGGAGTGGAAGTTGGAAAGTTGGAAATGGTCTTGGGCCCGATGTGGCCTGCGGCCCGCCAGCCGGCCCACGCTGGATGCGACCCACGGACCTTTGTCAAATAGGGAATCCAGCCCCTGTATAGTGAAGCACTTTGAGACATTTCAATGATGTGATCAAAGTCAAAATCAAATGCAAGGATTATTATTATTATAGAGCGTAGAAGATTGTACTGAAAATTTAATTTAACACATAAACCTCCCTTTCCTCTCCAAGGCCCTAAACGAGTTGTTGCTTCCCAGCTTCACTCGTTCCTCTCCCACCACTCCCTTCAAACCCCCCCAATCGAGTTTCCGTGCCGCCGACAGCACCGAAACAGCCCTGGTCAAAGTGACAAATGACATTCTGTCCATCTGTGACCAGGACTCCCTCTGCCTCCTCGTCCTCCTTGACCTCTCTGCTGCTTTTGACACCGTCAACCACTCTATCCTCATCCACCGCCTCTCCTCTCACCTCAACCTTCATGGCTCTGTACTTGAATGGTTCAGATCATATCTCTCACACTGCCTCCACTTCATCTCCACAAATGGTTTCTCGTCTAACCCCCACGCCGTCTCGTGTGGCATTCTTTAGGGCTCTTTCCTTGGTCCCTTCATCTTCAACATCTATATGCTCCCTCTTGGTGACATTATCCGCAGACATGGGGTCAACTTCCACATACATGAGAATGACACCCAACTGTACCTCTCTGCCTCCACCTTGATTCCGGAACCACTGCTGTCCTAACAGAATGTCTGTCAGACATCAAATCCTGGATGAGAGCTAACTTTCTTCAGTTGAACGTCAACAAGACTGAGGCTCTCCTTATTGGCTCCTGTTAGCGCTTCCTCACCTCAAGCGCTGACAGCATCACCATCCATAGTTGCACACTCCACCTTGATAAGCCAGTCCGGAACCTTGGGGTCTTGTTTGACCCTCAACTATCCTTTCTATCCCACATCCGTGCCATGACCCGTTCTGCCTTCCCACCTCGCAACATCGCCTGACTCTGTCACTGTCTCTCAATGCATGCCGCTGAAACCCCCATATATGTTTTCATAACATTGAGGCTTGACTATGCAAACTCCCTACTTGTCGGCCTCCCTAACTCCTCCCTCCATAGGCTGAAGATCATCCAGAACTCTATAGCCTGCGTCTTCTCCCGAGACCGTATCACCCCTTCCTCGTCCGACTCTACTGGCTTTCCATCACACAAAGGATACACTTCAAGATCCCAGTACCTCAACTTCAAAGGCCTCCATGATCTTGCTCCACCCTACCTCTGCATCCTCCTAACCCCCTAGTATCCTGCCCCCTCCCTACGCTCATCGGACTCCGACCTGCTTCATGTCTCCCGCCTTGCCCGCACTACTATTGGCAGGCCTTCTGCCACTCTGCCTCTACCCTATGGAACTCCATTCCGCAGACCCTCTGCCTTGCCCCCTACCTTGCCTCCTTCAAGACCCATCTCAAGACATCTCCTATTCGACCATGCTTTCATTCACCCTGCTTCCACCCCTGCCCTCCACTCTCCCCAGTCCCAAGCTCAGATCCGAAACACGGATTGTCCAATGTCTTGGGATGTCCTCCTGATATGAAAGTCGCTATACAAATGTAATTTTGTTGTTGTTTTTGTTGTTGTATATTAATATAAATAGAATATGAAATGGTTCAATCTAACCTGGGAGACCTCTAGCAAAATAATTAAACCACTGTCGCATAGTGGAGTCTCCATAAAGATGAACCACTTTTCCCCGAAGACAGTTTGTAATGTTTGCTGGAGTGTTGAAGCGGCGAATATTGCATTGTGTTGACATCCACTGGTCCTGATAGTAAAAACCTGACGGTGAAGTCAGAGACTTGCCACGGACACAGTTTCCGACATTTGCACCTGAAAATAGAAAGAGAAGCAGAGCTGAAAGTAAACTAGAACAAGGTCAAGTCAGAGACTTGCCACAAATACATCCTCCAAGAAAGACACGTAAAAATAAAGTGAGATCCAAAACTGGAAATCAACTGAAACACATGCTAATACATGGTAATCTTGATGCTCCATGGATTATCAATTTTCTAATTGGTTAATTAACGCTTATGATAACCTCCAATTGTAAGATGTAGAATCTACTTGTAGACCAAATCAGAAAATGTTACAAACAGTGATATAAAAATGTGGTAGGGACCCACACAAATTAGGAATTTACTACAGTACTAAATTTACGACAGTAGCAGAATTAGTTTCCTCTGATGGATAAAGGATTTTTTCATACAAAAATAGAGCATATTAATTATGTCAGATGTCTAATCAAATGATCAAAATATAGTGCACAAAGTATAAATACAGCATCAAATATGTAAATGCTAATTAGCACAAAGGCATGCTTTTATTCCTGGATACTTTTATTGTCCACAAGATACAAAGTCACTTTATAGTATATCGTGTGAAGCTCTTTGAGATGCCTCAACAACATAATAAGACCTGATATCAAATGCAAGGATTATTTATTTATTATTTATTTGCTCTAAATAAGAATCTGATCCAAAATGTTGAATATATTGTTCCAGATGCATTAAATAACGTTTTATTCAAAAAGTGACTTATGAAAGGATTACCCCAACAGCCTTACTTATGATCCCTTTGATTTACTCATTATCAAACCTTTCATTTACTCATTATTCTAATTATATTGTTCTTACCTGCATTAATTGAATTCATTACAGTTATATAACCTGGACCTTTAGGTAATATTGGCTTCAGGAGATTCACCTTGCTGAAAATGTGACACAGTGCATTATTGTTAGTTATTGGAAGCAACGACTCATTCCAGACCTGGGAAAGAAATGGGAAATTGGAGATAAGGCGGTAATTGGAGAGCAAGGATGGGTCCAGAGAAGGCTTTTTGAGGATGGGGATTGTGATGGCTGTTTTTAAGAGGGTATGAACGGTGCCAGAGGTTGATGATGTCTTTTATAGAGGGGCAAGGAGTTGGACTGGGAGGCAAGGAGAAGGCTCGGGATAGGATTAAGGTAGCAGGTTGTGGGTTTCATTTTGAACATGATGGAGATGAGAGAAGAGTAGGAGATGATGTCCTTCGACTCCTTAATCACATTACCAAAAGGAATGTGACTCTATGGCTCATATATATTCGAAGATTTGAAGAAAGTAAAGAACTGTAACAACGGCAAGTGTCCTACCTTGCGAAATAACGACGTTCATCACCAATTAAGTAAGATGTGTTGTAGCCTGATTTAGCATGGTTGACCCGAGCAGAGCAGGGCAGCTTCTGTGGTTTATAACAGAACCAGGGTTCCCCAGTCTTGAGATCAGTAAAGTTACAGACAGGGACACCATCAGGCAAACAAAGATAACACTTAGTTGTCTCCCTGATATCCCCGGATCTGAAGGTGCTTTGATAGGCCACCTTATGTCTGTGCTCATCACGTATCCATTTAAGTAATTGAATCGCTTCACTGGGATGAACCAAAATAACGGACACCTCAACTTTCCCCGACCAGAATAAAGTAAAATTGATCTTATACGATCCATTTTGGTAATCGACAACTGTTCCCACTGAACCCGCTTTGAACTCTGGGGTGTGGATCCGGGCCTGGAGATAGTCACCTCCGTATTGCTTTGAGTGTCCTGAAAAATCATACATGTGGACCATCACCTGTAACTGATCCCCAATGTGGAAAGTGTTTTGAGAGTTTAAAATAAGAAAGTGAGAATGTGACGGGTCAGTGCTTTTCAGAAAGGGTGTGCGAGCTCCAGGTGAGTTTGTCCATTCAATCATTTTCAACAGGAACATTCCCTCAGCTCTTTCTGAAGGCGTAAAACTTCCAACGAGGTAGCCACAGTTTATCAGTTTGGCCAACCATGGAAGGTTATTTATCATCATCTGCTGATTCTTTGATGGATGCAATTTTGGATCTAAGAAATTCTTTGATCCAGAGTTTGAACAATAATTGTGCTGTGAAAAGAAACACATATTTACCAAAAAAAAGCTATTTCCTATTTCCTGCCTCTGCACACCCACTGATACCCTCCTCCAATTGTTTTAATGAAATAATAACAATAAAGTTTGCATCTGGAGGATGTCTCAAAAGGATTTACTGTCAAGTGTGCAGTGACTGTATGTTTTGTAGGCCGTGAAGTATACTGACTGTATATTTTGTCGGCTCGTGCAGCAGCCAAATTGGACATTGCAATATCCCACAAACAGCAAGGAAAAGAATTACAAATTGTATCTGGGGATTGCTGGCCAAGACTTTTTGTATAGTGCCATGGGATCTTTTATGTCTAGTAACAGAGAGATCGAACAGAGAGAAAGAGGCAGAGAGAGAAAACACAGAGAGAGTGAGCACAGAGAGAATAACAGAGAGATCAAACAGAGAGCTCATACCAAAAGAAAGGGAGTAAGTGAGAAAGCAGGTCGTGTGAGTGACTATCAACATCGGAGAAGGGGAAAGATAGCTGCTCCACCTACCTCGATGCAATAAATGTTTATAATCACAATCAGCAATGCTAGCAGTGAGATTAAAGTGAACATAAGCCGGGATATGGAGAAAGGACGAGATGCTTCGGTGCCTTCTTCAACCATGTTGAACTCAGTGCCCAAGAGCCCACTGCCTGCTCTGCAGCTTTACTTTCTTACACCTGAGAAAAGCAAATAACCAAATAAATTTGTTGAGAATGAATGTTGTCATACAGTTTGCAAATACATTCTTAAGGTTCTGAGAAAAGAATAAATTACTTCCTGTACGTAGACTAATGACTGGCAAATAAAGTTCAATGTGGATGTATCCAAAGTCCTGCATAAAGTAAAAACTACATTGGCTGAAATATCAAAGCGCTCATCGTGCCTAAGGAATATCAATAATTAATAGCGATAAAAAAGCATAATGCACATGACTCATCTGTTCTGCTGGCGGTAGCACAGGCAGCCACACACAGTGCATTTATCTCACAGATGCCAACTAACTGCAGTGCACGGCTGTGTAGGTATAATCAGGTTAATAATGTTGCCAATTAAACTCCAAAGAAAAACCATTAAATCCTTTGAAAGAAGTGTGTTTTTGTTGCAGACTAGCTGTACCCGGTGCAGCTACGCTTGCAACCAAAGGATCCAATATGGAATGTGGATTTCAGTGATACCACTCACAAACCATTTAACACGTCATACACCAGAAGCAAAACTACTAAACATGCGCGATGAGCTTGTTTGCTGTGTGATCCTGCAGGTCCTCGAGTTATTGCAAGGCTCCCGTGTAGACGACATCTGCAGTTTTTCCTCCTTCGGCCATGATGTGCAGGTTTTGAGATGAACCCACACATGAGCATCCAACATAGAATTGTCCATGGGAAAAGCAGAGTGTATTCAAGAAAATGCCAGCAACCTTTAAGCTCTGCCCCGTGCCTTGTTAACTGACATGGCAAAGCACATTTGACCAGGGAATTGGAGCCCTTTGAACTCAAACGGGCAGTCACTTGGGGGCAGTGGGATGCTGGGAGGAATGAATACATCTTCCCCTTTCAACTGACCAGTCAGAATAGTTGCTTCAATAACATGTGCATCAACAGCTTTACCGCCAACCTTGTGCCATTGCATAGCTTTGGTATATCTAGATTCCTCAGCAGTATGATTATGCATTCGACCTTTATTATGTGTTTGTGTGGAGGCATACCAGATGGTTCCAAAGAGTTTAAATACTCAGTTGGGTAGTTGACAGCATTTTCGATGTCAGGAACAGTATCTATCGACTTGTACACAGTTTCTTGGCCAGGGACATCATTGAGTAGTTGGGAATTGATCTTGCTGTCAGACTCATTTCTTGGAGCAAGGATTGCTCATTGACACAAACACTTACGATTTGTGTAGTTATGGCTGAGGTTCAGGAAAACTTTGTTTTTGAGCTCTGCTGTATCTTGTACAATGGTTCCACGGGCATCTGAATTTGGCCATCTGTTGGATCCGCTGGAATTTTATCATCCCCAATTTCCAGAAGGAGGTCCATATGCCCCAGCTATGGAACTGCCATGAAGATGGACTTGCATGTTTGTCCTGAGGTTCATCTTCTCTGCACATGCCCACAGCCTGGAAGCCTTAAGACTGGCATTCAGTTTGTCAGCACGGGTACCATATTATATGACAGGTAGGGTCTGGCGGAAGTCACCCGACAAAATAAGTATCATCCCTCCCATTGTCGGGGTGTTTTCCCTGATGTCCTGACGTGTCCTGTCCAGAGCCTCAAAGGCATGCGTGTAAATTTCAGGGGAGCCAGGGAATTGAAGGTGTGGAGAGATGGTCATTCAGCAGCTTGATGGCTGCATCAGGATTGCTGCACGTGGAGGGCCAGAGGGAGAGGAGGTCCGAGGAAAAGAGGGTATTTGTAACCCTGTCTGTATGTCTGTCTGTGTGTCCATCTACATTTCATATTGGATCATTTGGTTGCAGGCGAAGCTGCAACGGGTACAGGTTATAAATACGTTGATGTTTTCGGTTTCGAACACAGCTTCTGTCTGAGAATTCAATATTATCAACAGCCTCCGCGTATAGAAGTTACTCCTAAACTCTGATTTAGATCCACTTGTGACTATTTTATACTTGTGCCCCCATTAGAATGTAAACCAATCGTGTCAGTTAAATATACAGTCAATTGACTTTACAGTATATTCTGTAAAGCGTTTTGAGACATTTGGAAGATGCAAAAAGCACTGTATCAAATGAAAGGATTATTATTACTATTATTAACCGATCCATACATTGTGGTTGAGAGGGAGGAGGGAGAAGTGGGGGTAAAAGAATGTAACGAGGGGGGAGTGGTAGATGGAGAAGGTGGTATGGATGGTCAGGGTGGGGTGGGAGGAGACATGGGGGGAACCTGTCTCTACATTGAAAGAGGGCAGTTTTTCCCTCCTGAAAACCACACAAAAGCTGATTTATTATTTGATACACAATGAGAAATTAAAGGCAGTACCACCCCATGCCTTCAACCGTTGATCCGGGCAACATTTCAATAGCAGTTCTATTCAGTCCCAGGTTAATCTGACCACTTACATTGAGGCAGCCAGATCTCATGTCATGTCTGACTGATCTCTGACACTTGTGACAGAATTGGTTCTTTCCACAGTACTGATTGAAAGTGGAGGCTCATTGTATCGAACTAATACAATTTGACGCATAGATCATACAGATCACCTGCTCCCTCGACCCCATCCCTATCCCTCTCCTTACCTCCAAGCGCCACCTCCTTGCCCCTCTACTCACTGACATCATAAACCTCTCCCAATAATCTGGTACTGTTCCGACACGGTTAAAAACTGCCGTCATCACGTCAACACTCCTATGCTTAAAAAACCCTCCTTGGACCCATCTCTACTGCCAAACTACCACCCAATCTCCAACCTCCTTTCCTCTCCAAGGTCCTGGAATGAGTTGCTGCTTCTCAGCTTCGCTCCTTCCTCTCCCTTCTCGAAAAACAACAACAACAAAATTACATTTATAGAGCGCCTTTCACGTCGGGAGGATATCCCAAAGCAATCCAATCAGGTTTCCGTTGATACTGGAGTTGATACTGGAGGAGGCAAAGTAGATTTGTGGTCATCCACATACGTATAGAAGTTTACCCCATCTGTGGATGACATTTCCCAGAGGGAGTATATAGATAAGGAAAAGAAGAAGGCCAAGGATGGAGCCCTGGGGTACCCAGCAGGTAACTGGGTGGGGGTGGGAGGAGAAACCAAGATGTTGCCAAGATGAAATGGAGGTGGTTGGTTAAGTAGGACTTGAACCATGCGAGTGCGGTGCCACTAAGGTGGATGAGGGAGGGGACGTGGTGGAGGAGGATGGCGTGGTCGACTGTGTCGAATGCCGCAGAGCGTTCCAGGAGAACAAGGAGGCAGATAGAGAGGATGTTGTTTGTGACTTTGACAAGTGCTGTCTCTGTGCTGTGGGTTGGATGAAAACCAGACTGCAGGGGCTCGTGGAGGGAGAGGTGTGACCAAACTTGACCTGTAACAATGCATTCCAGGACTTTGGCAGGGAAGGGTTGATTGGAAATGGGACGGTAGTGTGAGAGATTAGAGGGATCAAAGGTGGGTTACTTGAGGAGTGGTGTGATAACAGCGGTTTTCAGGGGGAATGGAACAGAGCCTGAGGAGAGAGATTAGTTGACAGTATCGGTCAACAGTGAGGAGAGGAGGGGGAGTTCAGACCAGCAGCTGGATGGGGAGGGGGTCAAGGCAGCAGGTGGTGAACTTCATCCGGGTGATTGTGGTTGAGAGAGAGGTGGGGGCAAAAGAATGTAAGGGGAGGGGGGAGTGGTAGATGTAGAAGGTGGTACGGATGGTCAGTTGTGGGGTGGAAGGAGACATGGGGGGGACGACAATGCAGCCAAGCAGATGTTTTCAATTTTTGAGGTGAGGAAGTCTAGGACAAGCCCAGGGTGAGCAGGTGGGTTTGGAAACAGCCCTGAATTTCAGGGGAGACAGGGAATTGAAGCTGTGGAGAGATAGTCATTCAGCAGCTTGATGGCTGCATCAGGATTGCTGCACGTGGAGGGCCAGAGGGAGAGGAGGTCCGAGGAAAAGAGGTTATTTGTAACCCTGTCTGTATGTCTGTCTGTGTGTCCATCTACATTTCATATTGGATCATTTGGTTGCAGGCGAAGCTGCAACGGGTACAGGTTATAAATACATTGATGCTTTCTGTTTCGAACACAGCTTCTGTCTGAGAATTCAATATTATCAACAGCCTCCGCGTATAGAAGTTCCTCCTAAACTCTGATTTAGATCCACTTGCGACTATTTTATACTTGTGCCCCCATTAGAATGTAAACCAATCGTGTCAGTTAAATATACAGTCAATTCACTTTACAGTATATTCTGTAAAGCGTTTTGAGACATTTGGAAGATGCGAAAAGTACTGTATCAAATGAAAGGATTATTATTACTATTATTAACCGATCCATACATTGTGGTTGAGAGGGAGGAGGGAGAAGTGGGGGTAAAAGAATGTAACGAGGGGGGAGTGGTAGATGGAGAAGGTGGTATGGATGGTCAGGGTGGGGTGGGAGGAGACATGGGGGGGAACCTGTCTCTACATTGAAAGAGGGCAGTTTTTCCCTCCTGAAAACCACACAAAAGCTGATTTATTATTTGATACACAATGAGAAATTAAAGGCAGTACCACCCCATGCCTTCAACCGTTGATCCGGGCAACATTTCAATAGCAGTTCTATTCAGTCCCAGGTTAATCTGACCACTTACATTGAGGCAGCCAGATCTCATGTCATGTCTGACTGATCTCTGACACTTGTGACAGAATTGGTTCTTTCCACAGTACTGATTGAAAGTGGAGGCTCATTGTATCGAACTAATACAATTTGACGCATAGATCATACAGATCACCTGCTCCCTCGACCCCATCCCTATCCCTCTCCTTACCTCCAAGCGTCACCTCCTTGCCCCTCTACTCACTGACATCATAAACCTCTGCCAATCTTCTGGTACTGTTCCCACACCATTAAAAACTGCCGTCATCACTCCTATGCTTAAAAAACCCTCCTTGGACCCATCTCTACTGCCAAACTACCACCCAATCTCCAACCTCCCTTTCCTCTCCAAGGTCCTGGAATGAGTTGCTGCTTCTCAGCTTCGCTCCTTCCTCTCCCTTCTCGAAAAACAACAACAACAAAATTACATTTATAGAGCGCCTTTCACGTCGGGAGGATATCCCAAAGCACTCCAATCAAGTTTCCGTTGATACTGGAGTTGATACTGGAGGAGGCAAAGTAGATTTGTGTGTCATCCACATACGTATGGAAGTTTACCCCATCTGTGGATGACATTTCCCAGAGGGAGTTCATAGATAAGGAAAAGAAGAAGGCCAAGGATGGAGCCCTGGGGTACCCAGCAGGTAACTGGGTGGGGGTGGGAGGAGAAACCAAGATGTTGCCAAGTTGAAATGGAGGCGGTTGGTTAAGTAGGACTTGAACCATGCGAGTGCGGTGCCTCTAAGGTGGATGAGGGAGGGGACGTGGTGGAGGAGGATGGCGTGGTCGACTGTGTCGAATGCCGCAGAGCGTTCCAGGAGAACAAGGAGGCAGATAGAGAGGATGTTGTTTGTGACTTTGACAAGTGCTGTCTCTGTGCTGTGGGTTGGATGAAAACCAGACTGCAGGGGCTCGTGGAGGGAGAGGTGTGACCAAACTTGACCTGTAACAATGCATTCCAGGACTTTGGCAGGGAAGGGTTGATTGGAAATGGGACGGTAGTGTGAGAGATTAGAGGGATCAAAGGTGGGTTACTTGAGGAGTGGTGTGATAACAGCGGTTTTCAGGGGGAATGGAACAGAGCCTGAGGAGAGAGATTAGTTGACAGTATCGGTCAACAGTGAGGAGAGGAGGGGGAGTTCAGACCAGCAGCTGGATGGGGAGGGGGTCAAGGCAGCAGGTGGTGAACTTCATCCGGGTGATTGTGGTTGAGAAAGAGAAGTGGGGGCAAAAGAATGTAAGGGGAGGGGGGAGTGGTAGATGTAGAAGGTGGTACGGATGGTCAGTTGTGGGGTGGAAGGAGACATGGGGGGGACGACAATGCAGCCAAGCAGATGTTTTCAATTTTTGAGGTGAGGAAGTCTAGGACAAGCCCAGGGTGAGCAGGTGGGTTTGGAAACAGCCCTGAATTTCAGGGGAGACAGGGAATTGAAGCTGTGGAGAGATAGTCATTCAGCAGCTTGATGGCTGCATCAGGATTGCTGCACGTGGAGGGCCAGAGGGAGAGGAGGTCCGAGGAAAAGAGGTTATTTGTAACCCTGTCTGTATGTCTGTCTGTGTGTCCATCTACATTTCATATTGGATCATTTGGTTGCAGGCGAAGCTGCAACGGGTACAGGTTATAAATACATTGATGCTTTCTGTTTCGAACACAGCTTCTGTCTGAGAATTCAATATTATCAACAGCCTCCGCGTATAGAAGTTCCTCCTAAACTCTGATTTAGATCCACTTGCGACTATTTTATACTTGTGCCCCCATTAGAATGTAAACCAATCGTGTCAGTTAAATATACAGTCAATTCACTTTACAGTATATTCTGTAAAGCGTTTTGAGACATTTGGAAGATGCGAAAAGTACTGTATCAAATGAAAGGATTATTATTACTATTATTAACCGATCCATACATTGTGGTTGAGAGGGAGGAGGGAGAAGTGGGGGTAAAAGAATGTAACGAGGGGGGAGTGGTAGATGGAGAAGGTGGTATGGATGGTCAGGGTGGGGTGGGAGGAGACATGGGGGGAACCTGTCTCTACATTGAAAGAGGGCAGTTTTTCCCTCCTGAAAACCACACAAAAGCTGATTTATTATTTGATACACAATGAGAAATTAAAGGCAGTACCACCCCATGCCTTCAACCGTTGATCCGGGCAACATTTCAATAGCAGTTCTATTCAGTCCCAGGTTAATCTGACCACTTACATTGAGGCAGCCAGATCTCATGTCATGTCTGACTGATCTCTGACACTTGTGACAGAATTGGTTCTTTCCACAGTACTGATTGAAAGTGGAGGCTCATTGTATCGAACTAATACAATTTGACGCATAGATCATACAGATCACCTGCTCCCTCGACCCCATCCCTATCCCTCTCCTTACCTCCAAGCGTCACCTCCTTGCCCCTCTACTCACTGACATCATAAACCTCTGCCAATCTTCTGGTACTGTTCCCACACCATTAAAAACTGCCGTCATCACTCCTATGCTTAAAAAACCCTCCTTGGACCCATCTCTACTGCCAAACTACCACCCAATCTCCAACCTCCCTTTCCTCTCCAAGGTCCTGGAATGAGTTGCTGCTTCTCAGCTTCGCTCCTTCCTCTCCCTTCTCGAAAAACAACAACAACAAAATTACATTTATAGAGCGCCTTTCACGTCGGGAGGATATCCCAAAGCACTCCAATCAAGTTTCCGTTGATACTGGAGTTGATACTGGAGGAGGCAAAGTAGATTTGTGTGTCATCCACATACGTATGGAAGTTTACCCCATCTGTGGATGACATTTCCCAGAGGGAGTTCATAGATAAGGAAAAGAAGAAGGCCAAGGATGGAGCCCTGGGGTACCCAGCAGGTAACTGGGTGGGGGTGGGAGGAGAAACCAAGATGTTGCCAAGTTGAAATGGAGGCGGTTGGTTAAGTAGGACTTGAACCATGCGAGTGCGGTGCCTCTAAGGTGGATGAGGGAGGGGACGTGGTGGAGGAGGATGGCGTGGTCGACTGTGTCGAATGCCGCAGAGCGTTCCAGGAGAACAAGGAGGCAGATAGAGAGGATGTTGTTTGTGACTTTGACAAGTGCTGTCTCTGTGCTGTGGGTTGGATGAAAACCAGACTGCAGGGGCTCGTGGAGGGAGAGGTGTGACCAAACTTGACCTGTAACAATGCATTCCAGGACTTTGGCAGGGAAGGGTTGATTGGAAATGGGACGGTAGTGTGAGAGATTAGAGGGATCAAAGGTGGGTTACTTGAGGAGTGGTGTGATAACAGCGGTTTTCAGGGGGAATGGAACAGAGCCTGAGGAGAGAGATTAGTTGACAGTATCGGTCAACAGTGAGGAGAGGAGGGGGAGTTCAGACCAGCAGCTGGATGGGGAGGGGGTCAAGGCAGCAGGTGGTGAACTTCATCCGGGTGATTGTGGTTGAGAAAGAGAAGTGGGGGCAAAAGAATGTAAGGGGAGGGGGGAGTGGTAGATGTAGAAGGTGGTACGGATGGTCAGTTGTGGGGTGGAAGGAGACATGGGGGGGACGACAATGCAGCCAAGCAGATGTTTTCAATTTTTGAGGTGAGGAAGTCTAGGACAAGCCCAGGGTGAGCAGGTGGGTTTGGAAACAGCCCTGAATTTCAGGGGAGACAGGGAATTGAAGCTGTGGAGAGATAGTCATTCAGCAGCTTGATGGCTGCATCAGGATTGCTGCACGTGGAGGGCCAGAGGGAGAGGAGGTCCGAGGAAAAGAGGTTATTTGTAACCCTGTCTGTATGTCTGTCTGTGTGTCCATCTACATTTCATATTGGATCATTTGGTTGCAGGCGAAGCTGCAACGGGTACAGGTTATAAATACGTTGATGTTTTCGGTTTCGAACACAGCTTCTGTCTGAGAATTCAATATTATCAACAGCCTCCGCGTATAGAAGTTACTCCTAAACTCTGATTTAGATCCACTTGCGACTATTTTATACTTGTGCCCCCATTAGAATGTAAACCAATCGTGTCAGTTAAATATACAGTCAATTGACTTTACAGTATATTCTGTAAAGCGTTTTGAGACATTTGGAAGATGCGAAAAGTACTGTATCAAATGAAAGGATTATTATTACTATTATTAACCGATCCATACATTGTGGTTGAGAGGGAGGAGGGAGAAGTGGGGGCAAAAGAATGTAATGAGGGGGGAGTGGTAGATGGAGAAGGTGGTATGGATGGTCAGGGTGGGGTGGGAGGAGACATGGGGGGGAACCTGTTTCTACGTTGAAAGAGGGCAGTTTTTCCCTCCTGAAAACCACACAAAAGCTGATTTATTATTTGATACACAATGAGAAATTAAAGGCAGTACCACCCCATGCCTTCAACCGTTGATCCGGGCAACATTTCAATAGCAGTTCTATTCAGTCCCAGGTTAAGCTGACCACTTACATTGAGGCAGCCAGATCTCATGTCATGTCTGACTGATCTCTGACACTTGTGACAGAATTGGTTCTTTCCACAGTACTGATTGAAAGTGGAGGCTTATTTGGTTCTCATTGTGTCAAACTAATAGAATTTCACACATAGATCTTACAGATCACCTGCTCCCTCGACCCCATCCCTACCCCTCTCCTTACCTCCAAGCGCCACCTCCTTGCCCCTCTACTCACTGACATCATAAACCTCTCCCAATCTTCTGGTATTGTTCCCACACCATTAAAAGCCATTATGAGCATGCATTCTGAGCAGAGGGACAGGGAGAAGAGAAGAGCGGAGATTTCGGAGAGGAAGGAGCCAGGGGGTTTTGTAGCTCGGTAAACCAGGAGAATTTTGAGTGAGAGAGAGGAGGGATGATAGAGGGTGAGGTGCTCAAATGAGAAGAAGCAGCCAGAGGAATAAGGGGATAGACCGAGGAAAGCTTGGGAGATGAGGGCCACCCCGCGGCCATGTTAGTTAGGGCGGGGGGTGTGGTAGAACGTGTAGCCCAGAAGGGGAGACTTCAACTAGGGGGACAGAGTCACTGGGGGAGACGGAGACGAGAGTGGTTTGGAGAAGATTTTGGTGTCGTGGGGGAGAAATGACCGTGGAGTTCGAGGAGCGGGGAGTACTGGTGAGGGTATGGATGAGGGAGGGGTGTTTGCCTTTCGGAGGCGGTTGCTGCGGAGAGAGTGAGCGACGGGACAGTTCGGGGTGGCTGGATCGGCTGCGGGCTACAGGAGACAGCACGGGCGGGGGAGATGGCGGTGGTGGTTTGGGAGGGAGGGGGAGAGGTGGGATGGTGGTTATGGCTTAGGTGCCAGAGACTGGAAGGGAAGGGAACGGAGGGGTCATGGATAAGATATAGCCAAAAGACAATTGAGTTGACTTACCCTCTGAAACTGACGCACGAAAATTACATCGCACCGCACTTCACCTGGCGCCCGGAAGTGACGTCCGGCAGTGGCATTCGGTCGTTGGCTCACGTCGACGACATTTTGAAAATGGCGTCCATGCGCCCAAGGCAGCTGAGACTTCTCCTGGCTGCCGTTCACCCGCCCCGTGGCCCTGGCACATGTCGTACAGGCACAGACTTGTAAAGCTTTCTTGTCCCACCGGCGCTCAACCACGGCCTCCCCGTGCCCGCCTTTTGTTGATCGAAATCTTCGATGCACGTCCCCCCCTCCTCCCCTTCCTCCTCCTCCCTCCCCGCTCGCAACTCCCTCTAGGTTGACCTGGGTTTTTCGAGGCCCCTCCATCAGAAACAGGTCATTAGGCCAACTGGTCTGTGCCGTTGTTTATGCTCCACATGAGCCTCCTCCTGCCCTTCCTCTACTAAGCCTTTGAGCAAGCCCAGTCGAAGAGGCAGGTCTTGAAACAGGTCTTGTAGGAGGCAAGGAAGGGGGCGATGCAGTGGGACTGAGGGATGGAGTTCCAGAGGGTGGGGGGGCAGAACGGCGGAAGGCTCGTCCACCAATGGTGGGCAGGTGAGGCGGGAGACGTAAAGCAGGCCGGAGCCCGCCAAGCGGAGGGAGGGAGCAGGATGGTAGAGGGTTAGGAGGTCGCAGAGCTAAGGGGGGGGGGGCGGAGGAGAGGGCCAGTGAGGTCTTTGAAGGTGAGGATCTTGAACTGTATCCTCTGTAACAGGAAGCCAGTGGAGCCGGGCGAGGATGGGGGTGATAGGGTCGCGGAGCCTGGTGTAGGAGAGGACACGGGCTACAGAGTTCTGGATGATCTACAGCCTATGGAGGCAGGAGTGGGGGAGACCGACAAGCAGAGAGTTTGCATTGTCAACCCCGGATGTAATTAATGCGTATATGAGGGGCTCAATGGCCTGTAGTGTGATACAGTGGCCGAGCCGGGCGATGTTTCGGAGGTGGGCGAAGGCAGAACGTGTCATGCCACGGATGTGGAGTAGAAAGGATATTTGAGGGTCAACAAGTCGCCAAGATTCCGGACTGGCTCAGTGAGGTGGAGTGTACATTAAAAACCAGTATCCCATTTATATTGATGAATACAATATGCACTGATCAGAATAAATTAAAAATATTTATTTGTCACAAGCATGGAATTGACAACACCCTGAAGACATAAATTAACTCAGAGATATAATACATTAAAGGCACTTATGGTTTGAGCCAGTTGGTGACTAACTTCTTATTAGAAGTCCCTCCTTGGTATAAGCTGTGCCTACCTGCCCCAAACACTCAGTATTTATATACCTTTGGTGCTCTGCCACTCACAAAAAGCACAGGAATAATTAAAACTGGCAGTGAGACTCCATACAGACAAGAGAGCAACATTCTTACAAATGGAAATAACTGAGTCAGTTTGCAAACAGGTGGAAATAGCTGAGACTGAAGCACCATGCAAAAGAGATTTGTAACATCCTTACTGCCTGTGGGGGTGGTGGTCCCCCCAACACCCCATTGGAGTGTCAACATAGTTCTAACGTCCTAAAGCCTGATGTGGGGCTTGAACTCACAACCTTCTGACCCAACAACAAATTACTCTTGTACAGTGCCCTTCACATCTAAAAAAACGTCCCAGTGCGCTGGACAGTCAGGGTTTTTTTGACCCCCCCCCTCCCCCCCGGAGTTGGGGTCAGGAAGGGTGGAGGGCAGGGGTACTGGGGGTTGGGAGTGTGGCTGAAAGTATGGTCTAAGAAGAAGGCCTTTAGATGGGACATGAAAGAGACAAGAGGGGGGGGGGGGGGGGGGGGTGAGGCGGAGAGATTGCAGGATAGAGTTCCAGAGTGTGGGGGCAGAGATGCTGAATGCCTGACTGCCAGTGGTGGGGCGGGAAGTACAGGTAACCTGAAGCAGGTTGCTGTCCGCCGAGCAGAGGGAGCGGACAGGTTGATACGGAGTTAGGAAGTTGGAGAGGTAGGGGAGAGCAAGACCTGAGAACCAGGGTTTTGTACTTGATTCTCTGAGGGATGGGGAGCCAGTGAAGCCAGGAAAGAATGGGGGTGATTGGTTCGTGGTCCCAGAGGCGAGAGTACTACCAGCGGAGCCAGGCTGACACACAATAGAATGAACTGGAAACAACAGAAGTGACTGGGAACACTCAGCAGATCAGGCAGCGTCTATGGGGAAAGGAAAGTGAGTCAACGTTTCGGATCCACGACCGTTTCTTCAGAACTGTGGCATGTTGGGAGACATGTTGAGAATGAATTGGGATGTAATCCAACAACAAGAACAACTTGCCTTCATATAGCACCTTTCACGACGGAAGTCATAAATGATTGATCTAATTTACAACACAAAAAAACTGCACTTGATTCATCCCAATGAACATCCTAACAGTTGAGAACTGTTCAAAACGTATCTTATTTGACTAAAAAAAATACCTTAGCGATACTCGGTGTTTAGATTAAAAATAGTAAACACTTAAAACAGATCTTGCAGTTTTGACATTTTTAGTATTCTCAGTCAGAATCTTCAGATGCCAAAACATTGATTGGAATAAAATTTCATTATTTTGTGAAAGGACACACATGTGAAAGAAATGTATCTATCTCATTTTTTATAATGATTTGCTGTGGATGTAATTCATGTGGCAAGTAATGTGCTACAGTCATCTCCCACGCATCCACAAATGACACATTGATACCCTTGAACATTTTTCTCAACACTACGTCGAGCTGAAATGAGTCCCAGTTATTGTTGTACAGACTGCCTTCAGGTGTCAGAGCCTGGACATTAGCTGTCTTCATTACAATTTGTGTATCTGGATTTCGGTTTAGCAATAGGAGAATAGATCTCCGAATATTCTGTATCCTTCGGATGTAAATTTCTACTGGAAAAGTGCCAAAGTGGGACCATAAGGTGATTGCTATAATTGTATTCTTTCCAGCTTTAATACCATCCAGTGCGTTTGCAATGTAGAGCATGTTTGGAGTTTCAATGTAGAATCGGATTGGAGGAGCGTGGCAATGATATTTCACCATGATCTGGTTTTTCATATCGATAGCAAGGTGTGGACCGGTATTTTCATTATTGCCAAGAGGAAACCTCTTAAGCCCTAAAACAAAAGAGGTTACATTATTAATCAGTATAAGTAATTTTCTAATTAGAGTTAACAAAAGAGATATTGTACGATATCGCTGAGCAGTGATATTATCTGATCTGAGCCCCCAAAATGTGCCAGTTTACCAAGGTAATAACAGAGTTCAAAAGTGACACTTCCAAACTTGATCTCACTGGTATGAAGAGTATAGTTTTGCAGTATACACACATCATCCCATTTATGCCAGGAACACAAGAGCTGGTGCAGTTGTTCAACCACCACAGCTTCTAAGTCAATGGATAAAGCCCACACCGGAAGATGCGTAGCATGGACCTGGTGTAAGTGGTTTCTCACCCAATAACATAAGAAATGCTAGACCAAAAAAGACCAAGGTCCATCTAGTTTGCCTTCCACTTTCCTGGCAGTCGCAAGGAGGCGCTGACAGCATTGATCCGTTCACTCTACCTCAAGAAGCTGATCTTGTTCGACCCCCATCTGTCTTCCAAGCTCTCCACCTAGGGTCTCACTCAACTTTCCCTCATACCTCTGCACATTACCCACCTCTACCATAACATCTCCCCCTGGGCTGCCGAGACCCTCATTCGGGCTTTCATTATATCTAGCCTGCCCAGGAATCAAACCCAGGTCCTCTCGCTTGCAAGGCAAGTGCTCTAACTAATATGCTACAGGACTCCACATGCACCCATTTCATAGAGAATGTAGGGGTCTGATTCTGGATTGGGATATTATTTACACATTAAGTAGAATGGACAATAATACCATAATGTTGACTATAAAATAAATATCTGGAGCTAACCTGGTTGAAATTTAGTTAAATATTCAAACCACTGTCGTATAGTGGAATCTCCAAAGAGGTGCACTATTTTCTTACGAAGGCAGGCTGTAATGTTTGGAGTGTTGAAGCGGTGAATATTACAGGTTGCTGACATCCATTGATCCTGATAATAGAAACCTGACGGTGAAGCCAGAGATTTACCACGGACACACCGTCTGAGATTTGCACCTGAATATAAAGAGAAAACCAGGGCTGTAAACAAATGTACAGTAAATGGAGGAGTAGTTTACACAGAAAAACTCAGACTCCTATTCTTTTGACATTGATCAAGTGTACATAAAAAGATATTTTTAGGATGCTTAGGATATAGTGCATCAATGTTAATGTTGCTTGGAATCTGCTTTTAAGGTCCTGAGAAGCATATTGTATCAGGAAAGGCCTGAANTTTTTTTCTCAAAAACATTCATTAATTTCCCTAACGGTACTTTGTAATATTTAATAAGGATGGAATTTGTGGAATTTGATAATGTATTGCTGTTCATACAATTTTCAACTCTAAACAAATTTAATCTCTAAAAGTTTATACAAAAGAGGTTAAAATAGCAGAAAACAGGTATTATTCCGGTTTCTGAAGCTGAACCATATATTATTCATACTGTATTTCAATATTTCTAAAATAAAGATTATGATATTGAACATAAGGCTATTTTATATCAATGCTAAATTCCAAGAACAGATTTCGGTGGAATAAAAATTTCATTCAAACTATTTACTTTTATAGCATACAAAAGTCCTTTATATTGTGGAATCCTGTAGTTCAGTGGTTGGAGAATTCGCCTCGTAAGTGAGAGACCTGGGTTCGATTCCCAATAGAGCAAAATGTTGGACAAGTTTCCTTACTCCACACGCCTCTATTTACCCAGAAGTAGGAACCCGGTTGTTAGTCGATTGGCGAATCGCTTTTCCAGGGGTAATAATTCCTTCAAAAAAATAAAGTGATCACTTCGATCCACGAATGTTTGTGGAACACTGCTGTGCACAATTGGTTGCCAGTCACGGAGCCTGGTGTGGGAGAGTACACAGGCTGCAGAGTTCTGGATGATCTGCAGCCTATGGAGGGAAGAGTTGGGGAGACCGACAAGCAAGGAGTTTACATAGTCAAGCCTCGTTGTTATGAATGTGTGTATGATGGTTTCAGCAACCTACAGTGTGAGACAGTTGCAGAGCCAGGTGATGTTGCGGAGGTGGGGGAAGGCAGAGTGAGGTAGAAAGGATAGTTGAGGGTCAAACAAGATGTCAAGGTTCTGGACTGGCTTAGTAAGGTAAAGTATGCATGCATGGATGGTGATGCTGTCAGCGTCTGAGGTGTGGAGGCACTGATGGGTACCAATCAGGAGAGCCTCGGTCTTGTTGACGTTCAATTGAAGAAAATTAGCTCTCATCCAGGACTTGATGTCTGACAGACATTCTGTCAGGACAGCAGTGGTCCTGGAGTCAAGGGTGGAGGCAGAGAGATAGAATTCATTGTCATCCGCATACATGTCTGCGGATGATGTCACCAAGAGGAAGCACGTAGATATTGAAGAGGAGGGGACCAAGGTCAGAGCCCTGAGGAACACCGCACAAGATGGTGCGGGGGAGGGGAAACTGTGGAGATGAAGTGGAGTACAGCCCCCGTTATGGGGGGAGGTGGGGAGGGGGTGTCAGTCCTTCAAAAAATTTGAGCCAAAGGCTTTTTAATTCAACAAACATCAAAAAAAGGTTAAATATGAAATTTGAAATGCACAGTAATATTGAAATTGAGTTTTTTACACAGGTCCACACAAAAATATGCTGCACATATCGATACACATATGTTTACATATACATATAATGCACAAAAAATAGGTGATTGACATCACTAGCATCTGTATTTTCATCAACCGCTATGGATTTGTTATAATATTAATAATCTTTGCATTAGATATAGAGTCTTATCACGTTTTCTAGGCATTTTAAAGTGTTTCACAGAATATACTGTAAAGTGAATTGACTGTATATTTTGTGGGCGAAACATGGAGCCAATTGCACACAGCAGTGTCCCACAAACAGTCATGTATTGAATGGACCAAGTTATAATTTATTTTTTGAAGGAATTATTACCCCCGGAAAAGCGATCCGCCAATCGACTAACAACCAGTTTTCTACTTCTAGGTAAACAGGTGTGTGGAGTAAAGAAACTTGATCAACATTTCTCCCTGCTGGGAACCAAACCCAGGTCACTCGCTTATGAGGCGAGTTCTCTAACCACTAAGCTATAGGACTCCCTATGTGATGGATTATGGATTTCGTCTGATCATCGAATGGTGTTGCTATTGCCAGGATTCATCGTCACATAGCAATCCACATAAGGATGACACAAGCATCTGCAGTATGAAAGGATTACTCAAATAACCCTACTCATATCCATTTGAGATGCATTTGATTTGCTTGATATTCCCACAATATTTATGTTTCGTACCTGCATGAGTTGAAGCCTTCACATTTACAAAACCTGGTCCACTGGGTAATACAGGTTGTTGGAGGTTGACTTTGCTGAAAATATGGCACAGATTATGGAATCATAGAATCAGAGAAATTTGCAGCACAGAGGAAGGCCATTTAGCACATAAAGTCTCTCAGAGCAAGGTGTTCATTCAATGCCACTGCCTTGCCTTATCCCAATACCGCTTCAAGCCTCTATCTTTCATATACCCATCTACTTGCCTCTTGAAACCCACAATGGACTCTGCCTCTACTACTTTTCTTGGCAGGGCATTCCACATCCCAACAACTCTCTGAAAGAAAAACACTCTCTTTTTGTTCTCGTCACTATCTTAAAATGTGTCCCCTGTGTCACTGACTTCCCTACCAGTGGAAATAGTTTCTCTGTCAAAATCCCTTATCATTTTGTAAACCTCTAACAGGTTCCCCCCAATCTTTTCTGCTCCAATGAAACATTGGAATAACAAGAGCCAATTTCATCAATCTCTCCTCCTACCTATTGTTTATTGCCATTTATGTCACTGGATATTTCAATTCTGAACATCTCATGTAGAAATGTTTACAACTTACACTCTCACTATTTCCACTCCTCGAGGACTTTCAATGTGGTTGAGTTTGAAAGCCAATATGATACTGAAAACAACAACAAAATTACATTTGTATAGCCCCTTTCATATCGGAAGGATATCCCAAGGTTCTGGACAATCAATGTTTTGGACCTGAGCTGAGAGTTGGGATCAGGGAGGGTGGAGGGCAGGGGGTGAAGGAGGATGATCAAAGCCATGGTCGAAGAGGAGGATCTTGAGAAGGATTTTGAAGGAGGAAAGGGAGGGGGCGAGCCGGAGGGACTTTGTGGGATGGAGTTCCAGAGGGTGGGGGCAGAATGGCTGAAGGCCCACCCGCCAATGGTGGGATGGGCGAGGTGGGAACATGAAGCAGGTCAGAGCGGAGGGAGTGGGCAGGTTGATAAGGTGTTAGGAGGTCACAGGGGTAGGGGGAAGCAAGGCCATGAAGTGCTTTGAAGGGAGGATAGGATCTTGAACTGTATCCTCTGGGTGATGGGAAGCCAGTGGAGTCGGGTGAGGATGGGGGTGATAGAGTCATGGAGCATGGTGCAGGAGAAGATACAGGCTGCAGAATTCTGGATAATCTGCAGTCTATGGAGGGAGGAATTGGGGAAGCCGACAAGCAGGGAGTTTGCATAGTCTAGCCTGGCTATTATGAATGCGTGTATGAGGATCTCGGGGGCCTGCAGTGTGAGACGGTGGTGGAGTCAGGCAATGTTGCGGAGGTGGGGGAAGGCAGAGCGGGTCATGGCACAGATGTTACGGACTGGCTCAGTTAGGTAGAGTGTGCAACCTTGGATGGTGATCCTGTCCGCGCCTGAGGTGTAGAGGTGCTGATGGGAGCCAATCAGGAGGACCTTGCCAGCAGTGCTGGTGGCCATAAGAACAGTCAAAGAGGAAGGTTTTCAGCCAGGACTTGAAAAAAAAGGAGAGTGGGGGGCAAGGCGAAGAGATTGAGAGAATGTGTTCTAAAGCTGTTTCTGTGACATTGCTGTACACAAATTGACTGCTACATTTGTTTACAAAATGCACAGTGATTACATTTTACAGTAATTCCTACTAAGCATTTTAAAGCATTTGCACCTTCATACCAGGTTCTAAGTTTACCCTCTATGACACATCCCCATGTCATCAAAGTGGAGGAGGGCTTTGTTTTAATGCAGAGCTCTGAGCTTGTGAACACAGACAAGTACATTAAAATGTATCACTGCACACCAATGCAATACAAAATAACATTTGTATATCACCTTTCACATCAGGTGGACATCTCAAGGCATGGACAGTCAGGGATTTGGAACTGAACCGAGGGTGGGCTAGGTTGGGATAAGGGAGGGTGGAGGACAGGATGGCCGAAGGCACGGTCGAAGTGGAGGGTCTTGAGACGTGCCTTGAAGGGAGGGAGTGAGGCGAAGGGAAGTGGGATAGAGTACCAAAGGGTGGAGGCAGAGAGTCTGGAGGTCCGACCACCAATGGTGAGGCGGGGCGGGCCGGGGGGGGTGAGACGTGGAGCAGGCAGGAACATGCTGAGTGGAGGGAGCAGACAGGTTGATATGGGGTTAGAAGGGCACAACGGTAGGACGAGGTAAGGCCGGGGAGGGTTTTGAAAGTGATGACGAGGATTTTGAACTCTATCCTCTGAGAGATGTGGAGCCACTGGAGACAGGCGAGGGTGATGGGGTCAGGGAGCTTGGTGCAGGAGAGGACACAAGCTGTAGAGTTTGGATGATCTGCAGCTTGTGGAGGGAAGAGTTGGGAAGGCTGACAAGCAGGGAGTTGGTGTAGTCAAGCCTATATGTGATGAACACGTCAATGAAGGTTTTGGCGGTCTGAGGGGTGAGGCAGTAGTGGAGTTGGGTGATGTTGCAGAGGTGGGATAAGGCAGAGTGGGTCATGGCATGGATGTGGGGGAGAAAGGACAATTGAAGGTCAAACAAGATGCCTAGGTTCCTGACTGGTGAGGTGAAGTGTGCATCCACAGATGGTGATGCTGCCTGAGGTGTGGAGGCGCTGATGGGAGCCAATCAGGAGAGGCTGGATCTTGTTGAAGTTCAACTAGAAAATTAGCTCTCGACAATAATTCTTGGCATTTGATATAGCGCCTTATCATGTCATTGCGACATCTCAATAACGTTTCATATACTGAATATACTGTAAAGTGAATTGACTGTATATTTTGTGGGTGAAAAGTGGCAGCCAATTGCTCGTAGCAGTGTCCTCAAAAAAGGCATGAATTGAATGACAACANTTTTTTTAGAATGATCCGCCAATCAACTAACAACCGGGTTCCAACTTACTGCTAGGTAAACAGAGGTGCGTGGAGTAACAAAACTTGCCTAAGGTTTTGCCTTGCCCGGGATTCAAACAGGGGTCCACTCGCTTACGAGGCGAGTGCTCTAACCAATATGGTACAAGATTACAAGTTGAAGGGTGGAATTACTTCTGTCAAGGTTGAACGTTTGGAGATCACTATGGCCCTTAGTTAAATTAAACCAGTTTATGCAAACCATCATAAATCCCTAAATAAGTGATATGCCCTCTGGTTTGGAATAGGTGCTGCCATCTGTACACCAGAAAACTGCAGAAATCCTTATCCACGTAAGGGCCCAGATATGGAATTAAGTCAGACTGCTATGTCAGTGAATTGTTTTCGTTCCATGCATTAATTAACAATCTTGCAGATTATCAAAAAAAATCACTTTTTACACTTTTCTAGCTTTTCGCTAGTTCAGAAATGACCAAAAGGTGGAGTGAAACTTGGACTTCCATGAATTGTATGGGTGCATCAACAACAACACACAACATTTGTATACTGAGCTGTAAGTTTTGAAACTAACTTTCTATTAATGGCAGATCTGCTTCTGTGACGCACATTTACAGCTCAAACAAGCGGTGAACAAGAGTTCGAACTAGAATGTTGAGAAGCTACCTTGTGAGAAAACGACCTTCTGCTCCTTTTAAGAGGCCTTTCTTATATCCTCCTTTAGCATGGTTGAGACGAGTAGTGCAGGGGAGCTTCTTTGGTTTGTAACAAAACCACCGTTCACCAGTCTTGAGATCAGTAAAATTACAGAGTGGTGCAGTCTCAGGCAAGCAAACACTGCACATAGTCGTCTCTTGGACAGACCCTGATCTAAATAAGCTCTTAAAGTACACCTTATCTGGCCGTTCATCACGCAGCCTTTGAAGGACTTGAATTCCTTCACTGGGATGAACCAAGGTAACGGACACCTCAACTTTCCCCGGCCAGAATAAAGTAAAATTGATCTTGTACGATCCATTTAGATAATCGACAACTGTTCCCACTGAACCCGCTTTGAGCTCTGGGGTGTGGATCCGGGCCTGGAGATAGTCACCTCCGTATTGCTTCGGGTTTCCTGAAAAATCATACATGTGGACCATCACCTGTAACTGATCCCCAACGTGGAAAGTATTCTGAGAGTTTAAAATAAGAAAGTGAGAGTGTTTTGGGTCAGTGCTGTTCATAAAGGGTGTGCGAGCTTGAGGTGGCATTGGCCATTCAATCATTTTCAATAAGAACATCTCCTCAGATCTTTCTTCAGGTACAGAGCTCTGATTCTGGTAGTGACAGATCATCGGTTTGACAGTTGCAACAACCTTCTTCATTTGTATCTTCTGCTTCAATGATTGATAGGATCTTGGAAATGCGAAATCCTTTGAATAAGGTGCTGTTTTCAAAGTTGTAGAATGAGTATCCTATGGAAAGGGGTACATTTGTTTCCAATAAATATTTTTCCTACTTTATGCTTCTTTATGCCACATGGCGACACAATCAACATGACAAAGAAACTGAGTTGGGGGGATTCATCTTGTCACAAATTTACAGCTATCTGGTTTCATCAAATGGCAGCTCAGTCTGCTTTCTCAGTTACTAAAAATCTCAGCTGCATCTGGCTTCGTTCCTTTATACCCTATGTACACTCTTTATGCTGGTGCAAATTGTCTATTGTCATTCAATTCAGGTTACGCTGACCAAGGATCTTGTCAACCAAACTTATTGAGGGGTTGGAGGGATTGGATCATGAGGAGCAATTAGGTAAACTGGACATTTTCATGCTGGGAAGTGAAGGTTGAGGGGCAATATGATTACGATCTTTAAGATGCTAAAAGGACTAGATAATGTAGACCATGATAAGCTGCTCTAACTTGTACTGAACAGTAGAACCAGAAGAAATGGGCTACGATTGAAGGGGGGCAAATTCGGGAAAAAATCTATGGAAACACTACTTCAATGAGCGAGTAGTAAACGTATGAAACAGGTTCCCTAGGGAGATGATGGAAGTAGAAAATGTTGTTTCTTTCAAGAACAAATTAGATAAATTTCTGTTTGGAAATAATATTTCGGGATACAGTGTACAGTTTGGGACACGGCATGTCATGCGACTGCCAGGATGGTGGAAGACGAATTGGATGGACCTTGATCTTCTTTCACTTAGCAAATTATTATATTCTTGTGTGGGATTGCTGATAGATTTCTTTCCTTTGGCTGATCAAGCTCAGTGAGGCGTCCTAGAAAGGCGTCCTATTATATGTTGTCAAAGTACTTCATTTCATATTGGTCAATGAAGGATTAAACCCTGTCAACTGCTTTACTGCCCTTTGAAAGAGGTTTTTCCTGATAATAAAGTTGGTGCTTGCCTCCTGACAAACAGTCCCTTAAAAGAGCAGTGCTTGGAATCGAAAGCAGGAAAAAAAAGTCAGATCTGTTAGTACAAATGAATTAATTAATCAATAAAATATTAAATCTGAACTGGGAATATCACAAGATCAAGATCACAAGATTGGTCCACCCAATTTCATCCCTCCAGAACACCTACTCCACCATTCCCCCATCGCTGCATCAAGGTATTTTTTAAATGTGTCTACCATTTATTGGTAACCAGTCATTGATTATCCTCTGTGTAAAAACTTCTTGGTATTTGTCCTGAAATTGGCTTTTTTTTTACATTCCAAACCTATTGTTCTGGGTTTACTTTTTCAATACCATTCAAAATGTTATACCTCACTATGACGTCTCCTCTGCATCACCTTCTCTCAAGACGGAATAGGCTTAACTTGTTCAATCATTGCTCATTATAATCAAGGTGTGGCTTGAACAGAGCACCGTACAGCCTAAGAATAACATCTGGGGATCTGAACTCAACTGATTTAGGAATGTAGCCCGGAATCTGTTTTGTCTTTGGTCCCTTTGTTTTCTCCCTCTCTTGCCTCCATCAAAGCACATCTCGAGCCCTTCCTCTTTGACAGGCGCATTTGGCCACCCTTCTACCCCTACTCTCCCTGCCCTCCACCCGCCTGATCCCACCCCCTGCTCAGGTCCAAATCGCTAACTGTTCAGCGCCCTGGGACGTCCTCTCAAAGTGAAAGGTCCTATACAAATGTAATTTGTTGTTGTTGTTGCCTTGTTTATTGTGTGGAAGCTGAGGTCTTGGCCACTGTTGGTGGTGCTGATAGATCAGATGGCACGCAACAAGCCAGAGCCAAGGAGGCGAGAGAAGATAAAAGCGATAAGGATGTGCCAAGGAGTGGATAGATGTACAGGTGAGGACAAGACCTTGAAACTGATCCACTGGGAGCCACTGAAGACTGACAAGGGTTGAGGTGATGGAATTGCAGAGTACGCACAGATTATTCTAGTCCACCTACCTGCATATGATGAATGTTCATAATCAGGATCAATATTGCTATCGTCACCACTAGTGTAAAAAGAATCCGATATTTGGCGAAGGAATAAGACATTTTTGTCAACCGTTCACCCATACCGGTTGGTGAAGGGGCACCCATATCATAAACCATAAGCAGTCTGTTCAGGACATTCGGCTTCTCAAATCTATTGTTAAAAGATAAAAAAGCAATTAATAACTTCACTGGTAAACAAAGAAACCATACAATTAAAAGTCTCTTATCATTGTTCACAGTTTACAATTGAGTATTTGTCTACCTTATCAAAACCAGATGGCACATTTGCTTAACTTTCCTCTGATCTGTGTTGAGTTTCAAGTTAATTGTTTAGGCAGCAGGAGTGCATTTTGAGACAAGTTTATATTTTTTCTAATCATCTTCACTCAGCAGTTTTCAGTACTTGTCACAACATGGAGTGAAAATACGGTATGTGATCAATATTACGAGTGGAATTTTTTGCCCCAAATTAATGATCTCTTCTATTGACAACATGTTTGTCTACTGTTTTGGAACATATAATGAGTTTGTGGTCAAGACGAGAGATCACAAGTTAATTGAAACTGAACAACTACAATGGTAACTTTCAATTTTCAGTGTGAGGTACAGGTACATCAAAGATCCTGATGGATCAGCCTTGGAATACTGCGGACCTGCCAAAGAAGGCTGGTTCGATTCCGACATTTCATTGAGTTTCTGTCAAGAAGAGAGAAGAGTGGACTACAAGCAAGCAGACCTGTCAGTTAAAGGATTACTGCAAGCAAGCCAACACTTCGACTCTTCCCAAATGCAGACTTGATCATCTGATAATATGGAACTGCACACAAGAGTCGTAAGCATATTGTAACTGTTAAACTCCATACCCTCATCACACCAGTCCTTGCCAGGCTCCAATGGCTCACAATTACTGAACAAATCGATTTCAATATCCTCTCACTCGTTTTCAATGCCTTTATCCCTTCATGGCCTCACATCTACTTACCTATCCAATTTGCCTAACCCCCACTCCCCCACCTGCTGCCTCTGCTCAGCTAGCTCGGGCCTCCTGTTCGTCCCTCGTCCCCTCTGCTCCACCATTGGCGGCTATGCCTTCAGCCATTACACCCCAAAACACTGCAACTGTCTCCTTCAATCCCTCTGCCTTGCCCTCTCCCTCCCCACTTTCAAATTCCACCTAGAGACCTTTCTTTTTGATCGTGCTTACGGTCACCTCACCCCTCCCTCTCCCTCTGGCTCAGGGTCAGACTCCACCGCTATCAAGTGCTCCAGGATGCTTCCCCACATGAAAGGCGGTATATAAGTGCAAGTTGTTGTTGTATACTATGCCATTCTAGCTTGATAAAGAAACATATTAACCTGAATATTGTCTTTCAAGTAACCTTCACACTAAAAGTAATAGAGTTACAACCCTGAGGCACTTACACAAGATGCAGACTATTTAGTACTCTGCAGTTAGTATTCTTTCCCAAACCAAGCTCTGGGAGCTAACCACTCCCATCCTCATCTGGTTCCAATAGCTTCTCATCCCACGGCGGATCGAATTCAAGATCCTTATTCTCACCTGTGGTCTAGCTTTGTGACTTTCTCAAATCGTTCCGAGCTCGCTACTCCCTTCACGCAGTAGGCACTGGCCTCCCAGCCCCACCATTGGCAATTGGGCTTTCAGCCTACTTCATCCATTCTCTCGAACTCCATCCTGGAGTTCCTCTGAATTGCTCCCTTCCTCACCCCATTGAAGGTCCATCTCAAGACTTATTACCGCTTTCAACATCCTTTCAGTCATCTCTCTGCTCCCCACTCCCTCAGCTCCCACCCCCAGCTCGGATACCAAGCCAGGATTGTTCAGTGGTTTGGGACATCCTCCAAATCTGGAACTCGCAACTTACACACAAGCGCAAGCACAAAAGTTGTGAAAATATTTGCAGAATAAAGGGTCTTTCCTTTTTGATAAGAAAACACAGTAATAATTGTTGCATTATGATTCAATTTTATTATTCAATATATGATTCAAAAGTGAAAGTGGTACCAATTGAGCCAGGCTGTCATGCACTATAATAATAATAATAAAAAATTAAGAATATTGATTGTTATGATTCAGAACATCGAGTTCTATAAAGTTACCATGCCTTTAATCATATTCCTTCCCCATGCACTTTAATAATAATATTATTATTATTATTATTATTCCTTCCCCATGCACTTTACAGAATATGCAGTAAAAGTTAATTGATTGTGTATTTTGTGGGCGACACATGGCAGCCAATTGAACACAGCAGTGTCCCACAAACATTCATTGATTGCGTGACTAAATTATTATTTTTTAAAAAAATTTTTGGAGGGATTATTACAACAACAAAATTACATTTGCATAGCAACTTTCACGTTGGGAGGACGTCCCAAGGCGCTGGACCATCAATGTTTCGAACCCGAGCTGGGAGTCCGGATTGGGGAAGGTGGAGAGCAGGGGGAGAAGAAGTGTGATCAAAGGCACGGTCAAAGAGGAGGGCCTTGAGATGGGTCTTGAAGGAGGTAAGGGAGGGGGCGAGGCGGAGGGACTGCGGGATGGAGTTCCAAGGGGTGGGGGCAGAGTGGCTGAAGGCCCGCCCACCAATGGTGGGGCAGGCGAGGCGAGGGATGTGAAGCAGGCCGGAGTCCGCTGAGCGGAGGGAACAAGCGGATTGGTAGGGTGTTAGGAGGTCGCAGAAGTCGGGGGGAGCAAGACCATGGAGGGCTTACGCCCATAGAGCAATCCATCAATTCATTAACAACCAGGTTCCTGCTTAATGCTAGTTGAAACAGAGGCGTGTGGAGTACGAAAACTTGCCTAAGCTTTCGCCCTGTCCTTATGTTAGGTACAAATGCCTAAACCAAACCAATTACATTTATTAAACTCTATTCCAGATTAATCAAACAAAAGATTGGCTAAATCTGGTGCTGTCTGCAAATTAGCTCCTGCGTTTGCCTGCAAAATATGCAGTCACTGCATTTTACATAAAACTCTGAAGTACTTTGAGACATTTTGATATGTACTTTATCAAAAGTATTATAATTATTATTATTACCTTCTTTACTTCTGAATGATTAAGAATGAAAACTCATTTAAAAGGTATAAAGCCATTTGTATTTTTGAGTGAGAGAAAAATCAAAATAAGTGAAATTTTAAATAATAGACAGAGACCAGAGCGTAGGTAACAACACAGGTTACTTATTCGCACACAATAATTGCACTCCTCTGCCAGAATACAAATATGGTGAGTTCCCACATCAAAAGAAACACGAATACACTCTGTCCCACACTGATTAAAGACAGGTTTAGCGATTTAAAAAAACATTAGCATACCTGACTTTCCTCCTGGATTCTCTTCTATGTTCTGTACCTTGAGTCACTTTGCTGTGTTCAGTTTAGTCCTATATTTCACAGGTGTTTCCCAGCCACAGATTGCCAATTGCATTTCAATTATTTGCCCATGAACTGGTGGAATCCAATTCCCAGTTGAACAATTTTACAACTTACATTGTGTCATATATTCATGTTGGGCAAGCTTTAATGCTCTACCTGCCGCTGTTTAGCCAGCAGTAAGGAGGAACCCAGTTGTTAGTTGATTGTTAGTTGGATCATGGAGGGAGTGAAATCAGAGGGAGGAACCTATTGCAAATTGGAATAACAGAGGGAGGAACCTATTGCAAATTGGAATAACAGAGGGAGGAACCTATTGCAAATTGGAAAATTGGGTAAATTTCCTTAATCATCACAGCTCTGTTTGATTGCCATGTGACCATGAATCATGGAAAACATTGCAACACCACTCGATTATCAGATGAAATCCATAATCTATCAAATGTGTAGTCCTGAAGCTCACTGATTAGACCACTTGCCTCGTAAACGAGAGACCTGGGTTTGGTTCCCGTCAGGGAGAGCTGTTGACCAAGTTTCCTTACTCCACACACCTCTGCTTACCTGGCAAGAACTAGGAACCCAGTTGTTAGTCGATTGGTGGATCATTTTTCTGGAGGTAATAATTCCTTCAAAAAATAATAATAATAAGTTGGTCACTTCAATCCATGGCTGTTTGTGGAACACTACTGTGTCCAATTGGCTGCCATGTTTCGCCCACAAAATATACAGTCAATTCACTTTATAGCATACTCTGTAAAGCACTTTGAGATGTCTCGAAGACGTGATAAGGCGCTGCATCAAATGCAAGGATTAATATTATCATTTCCATTCCCCGCAGCTCAATGCGCTGCAGTTTGTCAGGAAGTCCCTCAGTGAAAGCAAGTTGGTTTTGTGACCAACCGCGTCTTTCAATACCCCAGCTCCTGATGCTGCCATGAGAGGATGGTTCGCTGGGGAGATAGGGAGCAGGCGGACTGGCCACTGGTTGGATTACCCATAGTGTGTCTCTCCAGAGAGAGAATGCACATTCCATTCATAGAGAAATTTCCATGTGCAGCTGGCATAATAATAATCCTTGCATTGGATATAGCATCTTATCACGTCTTTGAGACATCTCAAAGCGCTTCACAGAATATACTGTAAGGTAAATTGACTGGTTATTTTGTGATCGAAATGCGACAGTCAATTTGTGTCCCACAAACAGTCGTGGATAATTCATGGAGCTCTCAGTCAGATCTGCATACTCACAAGTATGGTGATGGGCTTCCACACGTGTCAGACACCTGGTTAACCAAAAACAAATGCCGGAACCTAAAATTAGTAATCTTTTAATAACTTTATAATCTAAGTGAGAGACCTGAGTTCAATTCCAGGCAGGGAGAAACCTTGGGCAAGTTTCCTTACTCCACATGCCTAATAATAATCCCTCCAAAAACCCAAAACAATAATAAATTGGTAATTTTCAATCCTCAACTGTTTGTGGGACATTGCTGTGCGCAATTGGCTGCCGCGTTCACCCACAAATATACAATCAATTCACTTTACAGTGTGTTCTGTAAAGCGCTTTGGACGTCCTCCCGACGTGAAAAGCGCTATATCAAATGCAAGGATTATTATTATTATTATAATGGGATTTTTATTTATCAGTATTAGAAAGATCCTGATATTTGAAGGAAAGAACGAGAGCAGATTCTATATTTTACTTATTGTTTAATAATCCACCAGAATTGGTAACATAGGCTTAGGTGAACATTTGGTTTTGAATGATGATCGTACAATTAAATGTAATGCTGTATTAAAGGCAGATGCCAAAATTAATCATAATGTATGAAATTGGGAATACAAATTTTGGAGTATGTATTCTAGGTAGGAATTAGCGGGAAAACAGAATTTGTTGGAAGGTCATTTTGAACAAATGAATTAGTGAAACGCAATCCTGTGAAGCGTTTTGAGACGTGTCTGCAGCTTGATAAAGCACCATATCAAATGCAAGGATTATTATTTTTAATTATTACTATTACTCATCAAACTACAATTGTTGCTATCCACTTGCTTTATCAGACACTTCTTCACCTTATCCAATCAGCTATTTTGCACGCCTAAGCACAGACATTGAATGTCAACAGGCGATTGAACAAGAGAGGGAGTATCCTGTACTTAACTGCTATTTAATCCCCTTGTTTGCAAGTCCACACAACCGGGTGCGCACAATTCCCAGCAGTGATTACTGCAAGGCGATCAGGAGTAGGGATTCTGTCCGATTTCACCACCGCCTCAGCTAAGATCAATATCTCAGGCTTAGATATTGGAACAATTTGGGATCTTCTTGTGGCATTCAGTACAACCCTGTGTACTGTATGACCCAAAGAGCCACCAAGGGAGCTCAAAGTAATACTGATTATTAATCAGATAGTTTTTTATTTTTTCAAAAAAGGATGTTGAAAGAACAAAATGCATTCCACTGTTTATCTTTCATTCTCTTAATCCCTTATTGTGTCTTTTGAAAAGCTCCTATGGCGCTTATAGGTGGTCTTCGTTACTCACGCTCATGTTTCTCTTTACTCACTCTTTTCCCTTTCTATTATGATCCTAATGTTCACATAATGTTTGCAGATCACAAGAGTGTAACTGCCCTACAGTTAAAAATTAACCTCAATTAGACAGCAGTTTCGTAATCTCAGTGTTTTTGGAGATTATTGAGATTATTTTTGTGGAGTCCTGTAGCTCAGTGGTTAGAGAACTCACTTTGCAAGTGAGAGACCTGAGTTCAATTCCAGGCAGGTCAGGGCGAAACCTTGGGCAAGTTTCCTTACTCTACACGCCTAATAATAATCCCTTCAAAAACCAAAAACAATAATAAATTGGTCATTTTCAATCTACGACTGCTTGTGGGACATTGCTGTGCGTAATTGGCTGCCGCGTTCGCCCACAAATATACAGTCAATTCACTTTGCAGTATATTCTGTGAAGCGCTCTGGGACGTCCTCCTGATATGAAAAGTGCTATATCAAATGCAAGGATTATTATTATTAAGGACACTGGGAAAAACTCCTTTCTCTTGGGAGAAATATCAAGGAGTCCTTGCTACTACTCTTGATTTCCTTATGTAGAAATGGTTCTTGTAGATATTGAAATACTCGATTGTGGCTTGTATACAGAATATGTTTTTGATCAAAATAATTTTTCTCAGTTGCTTTAATAGTTGCCCAGCAACAAGATCATTCCAACAATCTTTCAGGCATCAAATTGACAGCCTTCGAAGATGGATTGAAAAAGCTGTACAGAGAAATGGTACGTGTAACTTTGTTGTAAATGTTATTTTCTCATTCTTATAACTGCACCACCGTGAATCAAGTTTAGAACTTCTCTAAGTCTACAGCAATCTGCAGTGGTTATTTGTACATGCCAGTGTACATTTGCATTCTCGTGAAACTGTTGACATGTTTTACGTGTTGACTCCGTGCACTTATTTGGTGCTCAGATCTTTTTAATCCATTTCTCACATTTGTTTTATTTGCATATTTTTCTGTTTTCTCAGCAAGCGTTCACCTCCCTCGAATAAGACATGCAACCAATGGATTTAACTGGTATGGCACCGAAAGACCTATTCGGAAATATCTTGCATCAAGGAAGATACCGACCCACATGTATCCCTATTGCGGCTGAACGTTATAATAATAATAATCCTTGCATTTGATATAGCGCTTTTCACGTCGGGAGGACGTCCCAAAGCGCTTCACAGAACACACTGTAAAGTGAATTGACTGTATATTTGTGGGCGAACGCAGCAGCCAATTGCGCACAGCAATGTCCCAGAAACAGTCATATATATGGATTGAAAATGACCAATTTATTATTGTTTTTGGAGGGATTATTATTAGGCTCTGTGTGGAGTAAGGAAACTTGCCCAAGGTTTCGCCCTCTGCCTGGAATTGAACTCAGGTCTCTCGCTTGCAAAGCGAGTGCTCTAACCACTGAACTACAGGACTCCACGTTTGCTGAGCTGTAAATGTCTGCACTTTATTAAGCACGTTAAATATACAGAGTTTCATTTTTCTGATTTTCACCTTCTTGAAAACACAAATTGTGAGTAGAGATCCTTTAGCACAAATTGTAAATTTACAAATTTACAAATTGTAAACTGTGCCGGCCGCCAAAACAAACTACCATGTATGTGTTACATTTTGGGACAAGGACCAATGTAATGACTACAATCGTGGTTTCAGATGAAATGTTGAACCGAGGTCCCATCTGCTTGTTCAGGTGGATGTTAAAGATCCCGTGGCCATATTCGAGAAGAGAATTTCTCCCGGTATCTTGGCCAACAGTTCCCCAAAATGAAATTGGTCACTCACTCCATGGCTGTTTGTAGGACACTGCTGTGTGCAAATTGGCTGCCACATTTGCCTACAGATATACAGTCACTACACTTTACAGTTAGAGCTGTCCTCCATCATGAAAGGCACTATATTAAACAGAAGTATTATTATTATCACAGAACAAAGTATTTGTAAAATATTGTACTGTTTATTTAAACCAACCAATTCAATCTTCACCAAAGATTCATGAGATTTCCTTTACAAAATATACCAGTTACTATTTCAAGAGACATATTGCCTCCTCGTCGGCTCATGGTTCCTCAGCATCTACCAGCAAAACCGCAATGAAGGAAGATAAGGATAGCAGAAAGAAGGCAGAGAGCTGCAGTCCACAACAGTCAGTAGAAGGTTCGGCTACTCTTCCAGATTTTATACCTGGAGTAAGTGTTTACTTCTTCAACATATCGGAGTCAGAAAAGAAGAAACTCAGTTGTTATTTAGTAACATATCCTTTTCCTATGTACGGGATGAATACTCATGTGGAACCACAGACATATTCCATATTTTCTAATGTTTTTAGACGTCCAAATCAGCACAGTCAGCATCGCCTGTAATAAAACTGAAGGCACCTTCT